GGTGCCATGAGGGGTGCTCAAGCCCCCTCAGTGATCAGCTCACCTTGGATCTGTAGTGACCGAGAAGGAAAGGTAAAGAGAGGTCTCGCGGGAATCAACGAACGAATTTATCAATAAGTTAAAAACTTCTTCTTAAAACTGAAGAATGCACACACTTAAATACACAGAAATCAATTGCATCATAATACATCACTGACACACATTGCATAATATTACATAACACTAGAAAGGAATCTTAATCAACAATGCATACATTATATAACCTACATAAGAAATGAAAATAAGTACAGAAATAATAATTAGGAAAAATGATAATAATAACAATACAATACATGCCTAGGAAAATAATTATAAATAAGCATACATTAACATTATCAGTTATAACAGGATCATAGACCCTATGCTTGGATATACCATTGAACTATTATTATATATATTTTTTGTGACCTGGGATATAGACAAAATTTTTTTAAAACATAAATGAAGCAGGGTTTAATGTACAAAGGAAGGAAACAAGGCTACTCAATTTGTAAAGTTACCATGGGCTGGTATAAAATTTTTCCAGATTTTTCATTTGCTATTATAAATTTTTACAAATCTTACCTTTTAATAATATGAAAAATAATTGACCTCCAATCCTGCAATCTGATTGGTCAATTGCAAGGTGGCATGGTAGAATAATAATAATAATAATAATTATTATTATTATTATGAAAAAATAGCAAAACAAACAAAAAAACTAAACAAAAGAACAAAAACAAGACAATTAAAGACAAATGGTTAAAGGCATCTATCCACTGTAGAAGGGAGAATTGGAGACCCATGTCAGCCACAAATGAGCATTATAGCACCACAACAAAACTGAAAGTCTCTAAAAAAGATAAGAAGTAACCTCCAAATGGTCAAGACTTCAACAAGAAGCAAGATGGCAACCAATGGGAGGAGATAAAAGAGGAAGCATCAGAGCTCCAGCCCCCCAACAATTCAACAGCTAATGCCTGAAAATGAGCACCAATGCTTTGGCAATCAGCAAAATGGACAGTGTTCTTGCTACCCTCTGCAAAAGAAAGAGCAGATTATTGATTATTATTATTAGACAACAGATACAGTATGCAGAGTTAGAATAATTGCAAGAGTACTCTTGATAATAGTGAAATAAAAATAGAAATAAAGCCAAAGATAGAATAAAGTCAGAAATAAATAATATATTCAATTTAGTGCATGATGAGAATAAAAGGGGAACTGTCAACAACATTAATGGATCTCCACTTGGTATGTGTGCCCCTGAGGCATAAAATTGTGGCTCTCAGAATTAAGAGAGATGGGTCCTAATCCATCCCATTCTAATACTTAAGCATAGTTGCATGGTGTTCCTATTATTATTATTATTATTATTATTATTATCACTATATAATACAGAAAGAGATGGATTATTACTATAATTATATTTCTTATGCATGCATTTGTTGAGAAAGGGAGTGAGCCCTGAAAAAATCACCTCTTAAAACCTTGCTCAGCCTTTTTCTGGGACACCAAGGTGCTTGTATAAGCTCAGACTACAAATGTGTATTTGTTGATCTAAATTTATTTTTGAAGTGGTAACTGCAAAGTATACATGTATGCATCTAGCAGCAACAACCCTAGCAGAAAATCAAAATTCTTAATTAAATTACCGGTATTATGATATTTGCAATTTGTTATTTGTTTTTCATATGAAAGTGTTAGTTTAGTTAAATTGTACAATACATGTACCTTTTCATCATTTTTTGTTAGTAATACATGTTTTTTACTTTTACCAGTTGGCAATTAATGACAGTATTAAACTAGAAAGCATCAATTACAAAGGCTATAAAGTACAATGCATTAATTATCCTCTTGAAACCAGGTACTACATAATTAATGTTATAATTATTTTATCAGTCTTTACATAGCTATCATTTAGTCTTATCTGTGACAGGCTCCATATTTTCTATAAAGCCACACTGTTACAAACGTTCCACTCTAAATCCACAGTATATACTGGTAAATATTTGATTTTTTTGTTTATAATCATTTTGTTATAATTAGGGTGGTAATGTTATTATGCTTTCCAGTCTAAAAATTGATGGCTATGTCTCAGTAAAAGGCTCATTTGTCAATGATAAGCTTCCTGATGAGTTTAAATGGTCTCACAATGAAGGTTTCACTGCATGCATAATGTATTGCTACAAATGATAATTTTAATATAGTTGGATTGCGGCGATGGCGTCAAGGATTTTTTAAAGTTTTGCCTTTTTCTGGTAACACTTTCTTTCAGCTTGAGAAGACAACTCATATATGGACAGGTATAATTTACATTAAATATTTTCCTTGTACATTTGTCTAGGAAATCCTTTTGTGTTTGGTGAGGAATGTAGAATTAAGCATTTGCCAACACAGCAGTACATCAGTGTTAAAGATACTTCAGATGGATTGAAAGTTTGCTTAATTCAACAATTATAATGCAATAGCTACTTACATTTAGCTTGTTGTTGAAAGTATAAAGGAAGCCAATGGAGCTGAGTTATTCAAAATATTGTCAACTAATATTGCTCCACAAGAGGTGTCAATAAAATAAGAAGTTTTACATTTTAATGTTATTCTTTATTAGGAAGTTTGCATTAGAGATCAAGTTGTTTTTCAGCATGTCAATAGTCAAAAGTTTTTAGGAGTTAATGGTGTGTTTAATTGGCTATTAAGCTGATGTGGCCTTTGTTTCGTATTAATGACTCAATTTATTTTTTAGTGAAACCAATTCTAAGAAAAAGACATTTATCTCAGCAAGACCACCTTAGTCAATGGTTTAACGTAAGATACAATATTCATTAAGGTTTTATTGCCAAGTTATAATGCTTTATTTAGCTTATGCTTGATGATAAAGAAGATGATAGTGCCCCGATACCTGTTACCAGCCATTATGAAATACTTAAGGTTATTAGTTACCATAACAATTAGTTTCTTGCTAGTTCCACATGTTTTGCATTTCGTATCCACTATTTTCTTGTCACTATAATATTGGAAATTATTTTTAGGCTGAAGAAGGTGCAGTTTTAGATATTTATCATGTTACAGGATTAAGTTCATGTTTGTGTTATCATTTAAAAAGGGTATAAAGCTATTATTAGGAATTAAGGTTATAGTCATTATTGTAGGTCTCTTTATTTGAGTTGGATGAAAAACAACTCTTATCATATTATCAAGATGTGATGATCCAAATGAGAGGATTAAAAGTTGCTTTTCATACTTCTTCGGACAAGAAAAGACTTGCAAACATGTTAAGAACCTTACAGGTATTAAATTTAATCTAATCATATTGCTATATGATTATAATGTAGACTATTGATGCTATGATTGCTTTATTGCTGAAAATAGCTTCTGGAACTAGTAGTCCATTGTAGGTGTTCTAAATAATTGCTGTTTATTTGTGAATTTTATAGGAAGCACGAGGTTTGCTGTAGTATTTGTTCTGCCCTTGAGGAATATGTGGAAAATTCCAACATCAAATCTCGTCACTATCTTGCTAAAAATGAATTGTTAAAATCACTAATGACTACGGTGCATGCTATAGTAATTTTATTACTTTTTTTACATTATTCAAAAGGTCGGCAAAGAATTTGGTACTGAAAAAATTCTCATCACCTTATCAAAAGATGATGTGTAATATTTTGTATCCTTAGTTATTGTGAAAATAGTTTTTTTTCTATTTATAGGGAAATAGGTGACCTATTGCAGAAGTCCATTATT